TCCTCTATATGACAACAGGGAAGTGAGCTCAGCAAGAGCAGGTTGCGGAAGAAGGAAGAATCGGAGAGGAACCGAGCACAGGAAGTGAGGAAGTTTGAGTGTCAGGGTAAGAGAAAGACAAGAGCAGCACAGGGACGGAAAGAAGACGGAAGTGTATGCCTGTCTCAGAGACCGAGGTCGGGAGGGAGAAGCGGGAGGCTGAGAATGACCTGAGGCTTGAAGAAGAGGTTGACTCTATGACTACGAATGGAAGACTGGAGAGAGACGACCGTGAACTAGAAATGCCTCTAAGCGGTGACTCTCATCCAGTAGAAACAGAAATATTCCACACATAGGAACATGACCTTACGAAACATGCATGTGCTGTAACTATAAACGGGGATTTTTGGCAAACTTTTGAGACGTGTCTGTTAATCATTGTCATCCCAAGGGGATAGAGCGTGTCCACTGAGCATGTGTCATGGTAGATGCAGGGCTGGTCTTTGTACGTCTCATCTCACTGGAGCCCAGCTGAGCCTGGGGCATTATTCTCATTTGACACAAAAGGACCCTGAACTGAGCCTTTAACCCGTGGAGAGGAGAACTAGTTTGCCTCCAGGATTCAGACTTGGGGCTGTCCTGCTCCACAGCCCAAATCTTTCCCTCTAAAAGTAAAGTAACGTAAAAGATCTTAACTCGCTCCTCCCCGGTGTGTTCTTGGCTTCAGACACTGGGTAGGACCAATATAGCAACTTTGAATAGCATTATTCACTTTCTGTGCTGTTCATTTGAGACACATTTCAATAAAACAAGAAAATTCAGGGTTTTCAGAGTAGGTACTCGACTTTATATCAAAGGTGCATGTGTGTTGTTTCTGAGTGCGATACGTGCATGTACCCAGGAGCATATAAAACTTCTAAGACTTCTCCCAGCACCTTTGCAAGTGAAGGCCCTGAAGCCCACCAGCTGCACAGCAAATCCGTCTCTGCACATCGTACGTGTGCACCATGTGTGTACTTGTGTGCATGCAGGTGGATGGAAGAGCCAACCAAAGCCGTTGTCCCTTGACCAACAGACCTGGGTTCCATTGCTCAGTGCAGTGGAAGCACAAGGTAATACTACTGACTTCTTTTCTGGAAGATGGGGAAGATTTATCAAGCACTAAATGGGCTGAAACATTTTTACATACCTTTTGAATTTAAGCCAGTGGTCATTTGCTAAGTTTGATACATAACTATGCATTGGCTCATGCTCTTTGCTTTCAGTAGGCAAATACATGTAATTTATTTTTAAATATCTTCTGTATTCCAGAATGGACCATATTACACTGGTGCTTTGTTAATACTGCTTTTGAAATGTGACTTCTGTGTCTGTGAGAATTTGAAGAATATATTGATAGGACAGGCTTGGTTGTGGAAAAGCTATGTGACAATGGACAGGAGGGGAGTGGGAGGAGCTGTCTTCATTTCTTTAAACATTTTTTATAGACAAGACACATCTTTTGTGTATTCCAAAAGCAAAACTAACAACTGAGGTACAGGGATTGCAGGAGAGCTGGGTTCCAAGTCCATACCAGTGTCTACCAACTAGAGTCATTCTAAGCTGATTTGCTCATGCAGTGGCTGACCATCCATCACAGGATGTACTCAGCCAAAGCCACTCCTTGATCTGGGCATGGTGGCGTACCCCTGTAACCCTAGCACTTGGGAGACTGAGGCAGGAGGATCACTGCAAGTTCAAGGCCACCCTGGACTACATAGTGAGTTAAGGCCACCCTGAAGTACAAAGAAAGAGACTATTTCAAATGAGGGGGGAAAAGCTACCCTTTGGCAAAGAAAGAGGGGCTGGGAGACTCCTAGCAAGCAAAAGATTGACTTGATATAAGAAACATCTAGACTATTCCCTAGGTCCAAATTTCCAAGTGATTACAGGCACATGCTATTACCAGCAATCATAGATGTAGCATCCCCTGGCCCAGCTCCTGGCTGCTGAGCAAATACCTCTGCGAATGGCTGATGTAGCTGTGGCCCTACTCTGGGGTCTCTTTTCCTGGCCAAGCACCTGGGACTTGGGCCTCACCCCTGCCCATCCGCTGTCTCTCACAGATGGCACTTAGAGCTGCTGTCTCCTTGAGCAGCCCAGAAATGCATGTGGCAGGCACATCAGCATCAGCGGTGGCCTAGCCCACCCCGGGAGCAGGAGGAGCTACGAATATCCACAGAGCCTAGGAATGGGACAGTGCCTGAGATCACCTTCTTTCCCCTTCCTAGCAGGGGACATAACACTGACGACAACCCAAACATTCTCCTGCTATCTGTGTGGGTTCTTCTGTGGGCTTACACATCTGTCCTAAGCCGTCGCAAGGGTAACAAGAATGTACTCTGAGTGGTAAAGGGAAGAGGTGACAGCACTTACTTCTATGACCTGAGCCTTGATGTTTCCTGACACAATGCTGAGCTTATTCTTATTTCCTGGATCACCTCATTGAAACTATGCAGGAATCCTGCAGATGGCCGGCTGGGGAGATAGCTCAGGGGTCTGAGCACCTACCTGCCTGGCAAGCGCAAGGACCCCAGTTCAATCCCTGATACCTCATGCCATGCCTGCCCAGCCATGCTGGCCTGAAACTGGGTGCAGTGGTGCATGCCTATAATCCAGTGCTGAGCTGTGTAGTAAGACCCTGTATCCAACAAATAAATAAGTCATCCTGCAGATGGGACACCATTTACACGGGCTCTTTCCAGATGAGGAAGCCCAGGCCTAGGGCAGCCGAGAAGAGTGCCTTGTGGCTCCTTGCCTGTGTGCATGCAAAGGAGCACAGGAGACAGTGGCTTCATCCCCTCTGGCCTTTGTTTCAGTCCCCACCAGGGACCTTCTCCAGCCCCCATACAGGAGCAGCATCTACTCTAGCCCTGTTCCAGGTCCTGCATAAGATGCCCCGATGCCCCTCCCTGGACCCTCGCTGCACTGGAGGGAGTGGCTGGGAGCTGTGTTCTGCAGAGAAGCCTGGGGTGACTGCTATGCAGGCAGGCTGGGTGTCTGCAGTCTGCATCCCACCCACACCCCTGCCACCCTCAGACACCAAACCTGCATTTCCTGGCCTCCACTTCCAAAGTGGATAGGCTAATTATGGACCCTTGATTTTAGTGATAGTAATCATCAAGAACATATTTTTAAATGTTCTCACTTTCTATTCTGCGTATTACTGAAATAAAACATTGAACAAACCCCAGGGTCACATAGGCTGTGTAAATTAGGAAAAGCTCAGGAAGACGTTACTCTGAACCACCACCACCACCACCACCACCACCACCACCACCACCACCACCCCCCAAAAAAAAACTTGATTAGGGACTTATTTTTGTATTGCAATCAAAATACGAGTCATTAAAATAGGACTGTATTTTAGGCTCTGCATCCCTATCTATGAGAACCATCACCATGACTACTAGATTTGGAGTCCGTGAATGCCAGAACCCTTCCCGGTGTGAAAACACGTATCGTGGGCCAGGTTCTGCCACATCCGAGGCATTTCCATAAGTGGTCAGAAGACCTCTGCATCTCCTTCTCACCATCCCTTTTTAATGAAATAAATCAGCACCTGGCATCTACTCTTTGAAATCTTGTGCTTATTTAATAATAGTAAGTAGTTGGCAGTAATTTACACCAGTGACATGTACAATTCAAAGGGAAGGGAAGGAACAAAGAGCGGGCTCACAGGGTTCCCTGGGACTTACTTTGGACAAGCTGACCAATAGCCACAGAACTGTATTTGGTACAAACAGTTGAGAATTGGAGGTTTGGAGAAAGCAAGAAATTAATATGGAGCATTTTTTCAGGTTCACTCTAAGTTTGGAGGAAAAAAATCATGCAGCAATATCTGCAGCCCTAAATATGCAGCTAAATAAAGTTGTTAATTAAAGTATCTGTTAAAAATGGGTAAAATTAGAGACAAAGACTCATTGTTGGCTACAGTTGTTGACTGCACATCCCTGCGTGGGAAAGGACATAGGGGGACAGTCAGCAGCCTGTGGTATTTTAAAGATTAATCACCCGCCCATACAGGGTTTTGAAGCACCCATGTGATTGGCCATTGCATCTAGGCTAGAGGGGTAGAACCAGACCATGATGGATTTGGGACGAGGGGCCACCCCATGGACACTTAAGAGTGTACCAGAAAAGAAGGGTTCAAGCCCACCCCACAATCTGCCAGTAGCTCCTATCTCAAGATGATTTTCTAGAGCATGCAAGACCTTAGAGCAATGAGTATTAGTATTTTTAAAAGAGAGAAGCATCCTAGAATGTACCTTAGAGTGTTGTGACTACTTAGCACCTCCAACCAGATTTGTGACTTTTTTTTTTCTTTTTTCTATTCCTGCCTGGAGTTGGGGTGGGCTTGAAAGGTATGTTTTCCTTCATAGGGAAGATTTCTGTCAATTGTCATTGGAACATTAAAGACTTTTCCTTTAAAGCTTTCTTGGAATAATCTGCAATGCAAGAAGAGATGGATGTAAAAAGAATATCTTGACAAAAATTATAGGAATAAGTTGGAACAATGTAGGTTTCCCCTAAAGTCTGGGATGTCCAGTTAGTGAGCTGTCACTTGTCAACCACAAAAGTAAGTAGTTAGTGGTATGGGGACATCTTTAAAATGTGATGTAGAAGGGGAAAGAGTGGACACTAAACTGTGAACTCAATTCTAGCTATTTAACTATAGATAGTATGGCAAGGCTTTTCTCAGAGTGATAGGGTTATAGGTAGATTCTCTTTGTAGTTTGGGGCACTTTTAAAAAAATTTTTCTTGTGTATTACTGTCATAATAAAAAAAAGTCAGATTTAAACAATCACATGGCTCTGACGTTTGGAGTTTCATGTGCTGTGCCCTGTCCCTGTCCATGAGGACAACATGCAGTTTTGTTCAGCACTGTAACCCTGCCGTGGTGCCAGGCGCAGGTTCCAGCGCCATCCACCCTGTTGAGTGGTGACCCATCTCTACTTCCTTTTTTTTTTTTTCTTCTCAGGTGATGTGCTCTATGAACTCCTTCAGCATATTCTGAAGCAGAGGAAACCTCGGATCCTTTTCTCACCATTCTTCCACCCTGGCAACTCTATTCACACACAGCCAGAGGTCCTCCTGCATCAGAACCATGAAGAAGGTACTGGATGAGGCTTCTCTTTCTATGCCTGAGACTTAGACAAACCCAAGGCTTTTAATTGTTAACTTGACCAGCTCTTCTTATTCATGTGAATTCATTGCCAGTCAATAGGCATTTATTGAGTGCCTACAGTAGAGGAAATACCTAGATGAATAGGATGCATATGCTTCCTTTCTGAAGCATGAAGCCATAGTAAAGCAATGAGATAGACATGCACGTAAGTATACAAGCTTAATTGTATTAGCTGGCACCAGACGTATGGTAGGGGAGGTTGTAACCAGGTACTTCAGAAGGCTGTATAAGGGAGAAATCTCTGAAAGATTCCTTGACAGCTATCCACCCAGGTTCTGACCAGCAGTGGTAAAGTAGAGAACAATCCAGACACAGAAAATGACTTCTGAGTGGGCTCAGCCCTTGCATTACAGATATATGTGGGAT